CTATTGTTTGAGGATTCGTAGAAGGAGCTCTGGTTTACAGTCAAGGAGTTCTGGTTTACCATAAGGGAGACTATCATCTGAAACTAAAAGAGGTATTATCATCCTTGTCTGTTCAGATGCCTATTGTTTGCTGAACTGTTTGATGACTACTCGGCTACCCTACTGTTGTTTGTTCGACTGATGAACTGTTCGGCTGCCCTACTGTTAAGTGACTGTATTCCTTAACACAGTAACTGTATTCAAACCTTCTTTTTGTTGGTATTGTGGACTGTTGATGGTTTGTTTTAGTCGACTAATTGTCTGCTCAACATTAATCTTATTAATTGACTGTTCGGCTACCCTATTGATCTCCTTGACTGGTTAGCTATCAGCCCTACTAAATAGGTCATTCAGACTTGTTCTTGTACTGCAACAGCARTGTGCAGACTTGTTTCAGTGAAACCGTAGGTCAGAAGGACCTGTTTCAGTACTGCAACAGCAGTGTTCAGTTTGTTGTTTGTTCTCAGTGAAACTGTAGGTCAGAAGGACCTGTTCTTGTACTGCAACAGCAATGTTCAATTTGTTATTTGTTCTCAGTGAAACTGTAGGTCAGAAGGACCTGTTCTTGTACTGCAACAGCAATGCTCTTTCTTTTGTTCTCAGTGAAACCAGTGGTCAGAAGGACCTATCTCTGAAATAGTCTTGTACGGTTGTACCTTTTTGGTTGCTGTTTCAACTTTTTATTCAGATATCATGGGCAGTGAAGATTCATCCACATCTGGAGTTTCCTCAATGCTAAATGGAATGGGTGGGGGTGACCTATCCTTTCCCATGGCTGTTGGCCCTCTTGATGGTTTAAATTACCTGGAGTGGTCAAGAGGGATCAAATTATACATCACTTCAAGGGGGAAGATAGGCTATATTAATGGGAGGATAAAAGAATCATCCTCCGAGAGTGCTGAATATGATAGATGGAATCAAGAGAACAGTATTGTTATGTCCTGGCTCTTGGTTTCCATGCAACCTCAAATTAGGAAGAATTTCATGTGGGCTGAAACTGCGAATGAAATCTGGGAACAAGCAAAGTCTACATATTCAGAATTGCGATACTATGCCAAAATTTATCAACTGCAGGCAGCATCTTCTACTTGTAGACAGGGGGAGAGGTGCTTATCGGTCTATTACTCTGGCTTAACATCTGTCTGGAAGGAGTTGGATCACTACCAGAGTGATCTCCAGAAAAGGAGATCTCCAGAAAAAAACAAAAGATAAGGAAAAATTGTGGTGCACTTATTGCCAGAAACCCCGACACACCAAAGATACCTGTTGGGATCTTCATGGGAAACCAAAATGGGCTCAAGATCTGACTAAGAAGCAAGGTTCAGAG